TTATACTTTAGCGCTTCCAGCGTACGCCAGCGGCAGTGCCGGGGAGAGGATGCATATCGATCTAGCGTTCCCAGCGTCACCAGCGTTTTGCTAGCGTTTGCAGCGGCAGGGGAGTAGAGACTATGTGGCCGTAAGAGACGCGGAATCGACGTGTATTGTAGAGACTATGTGGCCGTCAGAGACGCAGAATCGATGTGTGTTGTAGAGACTATGTGGCCGTCAGAGACGCGGAATCGACGTGTCATTGCCCAGAGAGTGAGGCGAGTGAGCAGCACCGCAATCGACGTGTCTTTGTACCTCCAAAAATCCAGCTCTCCCATAGTCTCTACTCCCCTGCCGCTGCAAACGCTAGCAAAACGCTGGTGAAACGCTGGCGTAACGCTAGCGTACGCTAGCGTGACGCTGGTGACGCTGGGAACGCTAGATCGATATGCATCCTCTCCCCAGCACTGCTGGCGTACGCTGGAAGCGCTACGCTACGCTGCCGCAAAGTATAAACGCAGCCGAAGCAGCACGCTTACAGCCCGTGCGCGATGCGCTGCACGTCGCGAACTCCTGAACGCTTCTGAGGAAGCAAATTGTAAATATAAGGCAGACCTCTATCAAGCCCCAAACTAAAATAGCTGGATCAAAAGAATTATTAACTTATTATTAATTTAAGGAAAGAGTCCGAAAAAAAACTCAAAAGCTTGAACCTGCCTAGCAACATTACCATTGTTCCTTGAATAGGAACTAGTATGAGTCATCTTCTAGTGAGACATGTGAGTCACTGGAGGAAAACTACTTCCTATTCTTATATCTAGGTCTTTTTTCTTGAGGAGTAACAGGAACGGAATGGGCTGAAAGCATGATGCTTTTTCACTTCTGCCTGAAGACGCCCCTAAAAATAATCGGTCCACGGGGCTGGTATATCAATGATTTTAAATTGTCTAAGAAAACCCACCATTAAGGCAAGCCGCACTTTGGCTACATTTCATCGAGCCAAACCTTTTCTCTAACTGATCAACTACTTTTTTACTGGCAACTGGATATGGCCAAGCAAATTGAGAATGAAGTCGTGTGAGTGCATTTGGGAAATTTTGTACAAATTTTCGCGACGAAACTAGAATTCGGGAGACATCGAGATCGAGAGCGGACACGAAATATCCTGCAATGACAGCTCTCAAGGAAACAACGCACTGTTCGCAGTCACAGTCACGAAGAATAGAGTACCTACCGAAATCTCTGACACAGTACTCCTCTAACAAATGAACAGCGTGGCTTTCTAGTATTGCACCCATCTTTTCAGCAACAGCATTGATTTGGGTCGGAGACGGCGGTCCAGCTTCATTAGAAGCATGCTACAAATCGCAAATCAAATAAAATACACAACACTGACAGATGCTAGATAACGAAGTAACGATAAAAACAGTCAGCAAAAATCAGAGCCGGGCATTTCGCTCCCATCCAAAATAGCTTCGGTTTTCGAAGATTATTTGGCCTGCTCTTCTAACAATTATATGGACGCTGTTCGGCTTGGTAGGGGCATTTTGCACTTTCGCTAGTTTCGTTCGCTCAATCCTGTTGAATTACACGTCTCAAGATGGTGGGACCTGTAGACCCTTATCAAGTGCAAAAGAAGCTCATGTTGTTGCAGAGTTTTACTGGGCAGAACTGCGCTAAGAAATGAAAGTAAACAAAATGCATAAGGTAAAAAAAAACAATAAACCAACCCTGGTTGCTCGTTTACCGCTCCCTGCCGAGTCCTTACGATTCAATTCTCGATTGTCAGCGTGCGAATGCCGGACCTTTGTTATTCTGGCACCTTCAAATGATGGAACATGAACGAGTAATATACGAATTAGTAACTCAGAGGCAGGAGCACGATGGCTGGAGAAAGGCGGTTGTTGCCAGCGTCATAGTGGAAGGACTGTAGAAGAGCGTTCTACCATATTGCCCAACGCCAGCGGAGGTTGGCCAATCTCTTCAACCAACGACACTAGCAACAAACATCCAGCGCCAGGAATCGTGCTCACTGCCTGCAAGAAATAGCGTTTGAGCACCATGGCCAAAAACCTTTAGCTTCGAGGTACTCGCATGATTAACCCTTTACTTAAGTCAAGGAGACTACAGCTGAAAATCGCTAGTTAAACTAACAGCTCAAAGTTGAAGCAAGTGGCACGACAAATACCCAAGAGATGCAATATTAAAAGGACTACTAGGACAGAATTCAGCCCTGAGCAAGCGCTGTGTGGCACTTTTTCCAAAAAAAGTACCTTTGTAGCGCCCTGTCAATCTACAACACACCGATCCGGACGCCCACCATGCCCGCCCACCCACAAATGTCCGACCGATGCTGATGCTCGTATCGCTTCATTTGTGAAATGCAATATGAAGCGAAGGGATTATATGAAATGGCTGCGCTGCGCTATGGATATATGAGTTTATCAATTCAGCCGCAGCGGTTATTGGCACGATGCCAACGGGAACCTCGTCCAAAACTGCTCACTGAGTCGTATAGAACAAAGGCTTTTTTGCAGGTTTTCGACCGTTTCACTTCGCTTTTTCGCCATTTTCCCCACTACATAGCATCCGTGCTACCATTTATACCGAGTACCATATTATCGTGTTTGTGCTTTTAAGGATTTTTACGACCTTACTAGCCCTTTATTATCCCTGAAGGAGGAAATTGATTATAACAGCGGACAATTAAAGTGGTCTCAGAGAGCGTTCAGCAATGTCACCTTGAAAAAGAAAAATCACTCACCTCCCTGGAAACGAGCAAAGACCAAATCATCGGCTTCAGCAACGCTATTAATTGATGTTGCATGACGGCGAGAGGATGACGTCCTCATTGGCGGAGGTGTTCTAGAATCAATTGTTACCCAAGAAAAGAGCGCTGACACAAATCGTCAGAAGCGTTCTCAAATTACTACCAAAACGGAAAAGGATGACTGAACCTCGCCGGGCTATCCATATCTTCTGATCCAATAGCACGAGTAAATCTCAC